GATGAGACAATAACCATTTTATGATGGGCAACTCAGGTCCCATGGTAAATTAGTGGCTGTGAATGCAGTACATCTGCTGAGGACCTAGTAGAAAGTCTAAAGCTGATTTTCAAGAGGAGAGTAGTTACCTATAGAGGATGGCTTGCTTTGTTCCAAAATCCTGAAAGTTTACCATATGATCCACTTATAAGGACCTGCCAAACTTGACCTGTTTGAACTCATACAGTTGGAATGATTATCATCAATTTGGTAGAGAACTAAGCAGAACATGTGATATCTTCTGGAGTGGAGAGTTGTTCAAGATTTCTACAGACTAGATTATGCCAGAGTTGACGTAGCTCTGAGGTAGGGCTTTGAAGGACATAGTTGGTCCTGCTAGCTTGAAAGCAAGTGTTTTTGTGATTTTGACTAAAAGGATAGAAGAAGTAGCTTCATCCCAATTGCGAGAAATGTATTGATTTGCCCCCAAAACAAACGACATTTGTATCTGCAGCTGCAATTGGAGTCCCATGTAATTATGCTTACAGTAATTCCCTATCGTTCCTAAGATCCATCTGTATGCTGCATAATCCCGATAGATGAGTTGAATGCTAACGTGGCTGGAATCACCACATCCTTTATCTTTCAAGTTTCTGTAGTCTCTAATCGTTGCAATCTCTTCAGAAATGTAGCATTCCTTCAACTTACTTTTTTGGTTGGTAAAAGTTCTAGTGACTTCCGCTTGCTTTTTTTTCTATTTGGTTTCCTCTGTAAATCCCTCATTCCATGGGTCAGGTAACCAATATGGACATTATGCCGGTTTCTGCATTTGACTTTTCTAACTATGCATTCCAAACTGGGAACATAACTATGAGGTGAGTTCAGGTACATACTGGTCCCACTGGAGATAGACCTTAATCCAGAATCAATCTCCTGACCTCTGCAAGTTCCTACCCTAACTAGTGAACCACAAAAGCATACTAAGTCTCCAGGAATTAGTGTCAGATCAGATCCAGTATCCAGTTACCCAGTGATTAACTCCCCTTCCCCAGTACATGATCACCCTGGTAAATGGTTGCATGTTTCTTCGAGGAGTGCTAGGAGGAAGATTCACACAGTATGATCTTTGGCAGTATGTTAGGATTCCTAAAGGGGACCCATCCTCTTTATTCAAGGGGCACTGACTGGGTCTGTGAACTAGCTCAAGTCAGAGTTGATTGAGGGCTCAGACTCTCTTTAGTGTTGATTTAAGTCCTATTAATGGTAATCAAACCTAGAGATTTTCTACTTAGACGAATCAGATAATACTTAAGAAGAGTGCCTATCTATTTCAGGTCTAGGAATGCTGTATCAGTTAGCCAATGCCAGCAATCTCCATGTGTAAAACCATTTTATTTATTACTTTGATTCCACTGCCCAGTATGGTAACCATGTCCATTTTGTCTCTGGAAGTTAAGTGCTACTGTTGTCCTGCGTGTCACCCAAGATCTCATCATCCTCATTGAATTTAGGAAACCTAGCTTGATGACACCATTACCCACTAGTATCCATGGCCTTTTAGCTACATAGAGCTTATCAAGCTACACAGAGCTTGTTGAGGACACCAGGTCTCCCATCACAATGCATTCCTTAAACCTAGGTAAGGGAAGTGTCTCTTGGACTCTTCCTGAGGACATAGTTAGGGTGTGGGTGAGCAGGACTCACATAATAAATACTCTCCATATGTTAGAAAATTTGTGAGCTGATCTCCTTAAAAACTCCAGAATGGGCGCTAATGTTTGCAAGATAATGAAGATGATTGTTTATGATCTCAGTGAATAAGATGAATTAATATACAGAATGTAGTTTTTAGTTTGAAAAGTATAATGGTGGACTGATAGTTACCATGTCAGAGGGGTTGGGGAGGATGGGGGGGTGGGGAGGGTGAGGAGGATAAAGGGGCACAAAAATTCTCAATCATAATGTAACTTGGTCACGGAGGTGGTAGTACAGCATGGAGAATACAGCCAATGATTCTGTAACATCTTCCTGAGTTGACAGATGGTAACTGTGCTGATGAGAGTGAAGATTTAATAATAAGGGTAACTGTTGAACCACTCTGTTGTATACTTGAAACCAATATAAGATTATATATATTGATGATGCTTAAATAAAGAAAAGTATAACTGTGAACAAAGTGTTGTATTTAGTGCTTTTAGAATGAAAGGGAATTTTTGTAGTCATCAATATATTTAATATTTGGATTTTCTCTGGTAAAAATAAAACCCATTTGAATGTTATATTCTGTTTTACCATGTGATTAAAAATCACCTTTAAATAGCAGGATTTTTACTGCCCCCCACCCCCACTCTAAGGATGAGTATGACCTCATGTTCTATAACATTTTTTTTTTTAAAGCTCAGTCTTTTTTCTTATATTCAGTTTCTATTTTTTTTTTCAAGTAATTTTCCCCTTTTGGGGCCTTGCAGGAGACTGAAGTGGGGCAGAGCATGGTTGAGAAGGTGGAGGAGATGGGTGACTTCATTCATTACCAATTACTGTTTCTATTGTGGGACGATAGGTTATGGACATAGTAACTCCAGCTTGAAAAATAGTGGTTTATTGAGTAATGAAAATATATTTAGACATGGTCTTGAAGAAAACATTTAAATGCAGGGCTTGGAATCTTTCCTTCTATTCTGTTCCTTCCAATGGGCTACAAATTCAAAGAAAAGATTTGCCAAGGTGTACCCAGAGTTGAAATGCACTTAAAAGTGAGGTTGAAATAGGCAGTTTTAGAAAGTATAGGTTGGTATCCATGTACACAGCCACATATGTACAGCCAGAGGGACAGAGAAACTCAGAAGATTTTGGGTTGGTCATACTAAGTATAAAATGTCCTGACACAGTCTGTTCTTCAACTGTACTTTGACCTTTGAAAAGCCTTTTATGATTGCTGTTCACATATTTTTTTACTACTCTTTGTGAGTTTTTTATTTTCCTCTGATAGGATAGTTTTAATAGCTTGCTTCTTGTTCCATTGTGCAGTAATTAGAATGTTATTAGTTTAAATCAAATTAGTCAGTAAGGTCCTGGTTCCTGAGTAATGCCTTTTTTTTTTATTTGTAAGTATTTTGTCATGCTAAGGGACCAGTAACTTTTATAATGGGTGTGGGTGGGACTTCAAGCATACTTTGTATTTCAACTTAACTTTATTGTGTAAGCATTTTCAAGGGAAGAAACTGTCTTATGTAGAATATAAGACTGTGCATGGGTCAATAAGGAAAGGGCATTTGCCCCTTTACCCCTCAACAGTCATATTAAGATGATTTTATTCTTCTCGATTTCTAAAAGGACATTTTCTCTGCTATTGTAAAAGCCAGCAGATTTCCCGAGTGTCCTTGAATGATTTATTCATGGCCTACTTGTATAGGAGCAAGAGAAAAGAATTATACATTACATTTTTAAAGAAAATCTTGTACAAGAAAGCAATTTAAAAAATATATTTGGTAACACCTTTAATAAAATTTTTAATGAGTCATCTTTCCGACTCCCAGTCATTTCAAAGAGTACTGTCTCCTCTATTATCATGGCTCAGAGCAGTGTTTTTTTCCTGTCCTCCCTGCCCTGTCCCCCAAGTTGGGATATGTGTTGTTTCTATAGTACTTTTGATTTTTAAGTTAAATAGTCTCCTGTTTAAGAGAATTCAAGGTGTGCCCATACCTAAGATAGTGTTTGAACTATACTTTGATGAATGTAATAATTTTTTAATAACATTTTGGCCAAGATTAAAACACTAAATATCACTAATACTCTGAGATTAATTAAGTTAATCTATCATTAACCAAAAACATTTTTCTCTTTCTTCCTTTATTACTGCTTTCTTTCCTTCATTACTAAGTTCTTTCCTATCCCCCCAAATTCCAGCAATTGAATACTTGAAGAATGGATGAATGATCTTATATAATTATTTGTTTACTATCTCCCTCTCTTTTTAGGCTATAAATTCTGTTAGAACAGAGACTGTGCCCATCTTGTTCACCTCCATGTATTTAATGCCTAAGATTTATACATAGTAGTAATCCAGTAAATTAGCTGAATGAATCAGTGAATAATAAATGTATATAATGAATGCTTCTTTTAACAATTATTTTTCTTGAAAGTGTTTCTTGTGTATTGAAATACTTAGGTTGTAAATGATGGGGATAAATTATAATAGGAAAAGAAGTATTTTTAATAAGAAAGTTTTTAAATTTGCTACTTGTTTCTTTTTAAAAAATAGTAGTATAGTTCAATTAAAAGTGGTTTTTGAAACTAAATTTTTGATTATTTTGGATTAATATTTCAAACTGTATTTGATTATGTGAACTTAATTAGCTCAACTAAACTTATGGCCCAACTAAATTAAAATAGTTTGAGGGCATAATATGGACATACTCGTATTTTTAAAATGAGTATCAGTTTTAAGTGTTTTAATTGAAACATGATGTGAGTCTATGTAGATAATAGTATTTTTTTTACTTATTTCAAGTTGTAACTTGAGAATTTTAAGGATTGAAGAATATTTCCAAGCGTAACAGAAAATTATGTACTCTTGGATTCAGAAATTATTACTTTAGCAAAATAGGCCTGACTGATCAGAAACATAAGGACCAAAGTAAGTGTACATAACTCCCCAAATAATGTTAGTATAGACTGTTCATTTGATTGTTGGACAACATATATGTACAAATAGTTCAGTTACTGAGGGATAGGAAAGAAAAAAAAGGGAAAAGAGCTTACTACTAACTACAGTGTTGAGTCTTGGTAAGATACAAAGTAGCCCCACATTGCATTTTATATATTATGAGCTTCATTGGACCACTTGTTTAGAAAAGCTAGTAATACTTGGGTACACAGCAGTGTACTTGGGAGAATAAGATTCTACTCAAGTGTTTCAGTGTCTTTTCAGCTCTTCCTAATTGTAATATCTCTATTACTGTTTGCTTAGCTTTTGTCTCTGTGACTGAAAGGGTATATTTTCATCCTACATTTTTCTCTAGGCATCCACAAGGACAAAGATAAACCTCCCAGCTTCTCTGTTGTCCTTGAGACTTTGAGGCGCACCTTGACGGATTACCAGAGCAAGCTGGAAGATGCATCTAATGAGGTAACACTTGCACTGTTTGGCTCCACACATATAGCCTTCGGCCTGCAGCAGTACATATCCCTTGCTTGTTACAAAGGTCAAAAAGATTGGGTGTATGGAATTGACAGCTTCACAGATACAAAAAATAATTTTGTTCTTTGTCTTCCTGGCATGATTTGCTCAGAAATGATGAGGTGATATTCTCAGCTTCCATTGCTGTGTCCCATGGTGGAAGCATTTTCCCTTGAGAAATTAAAACTTAGACCAATAGAGTCCACAATTTTTGGTATGCAAAACAGATGTTTCCTAGTGGATCATGAGATATAATGATGATATGAACCACTCCCATGCACAACATTTGATTCTAGGACCTGTGAATCCTGGATATGGGAGAAACACACCATATATTGATTGCTGACTCAGAGCATATGTTGTCCTGAAGGATATTATTATTGTCCTACAAAATGTTGCTATGCAGCAGCACCATGATTCTTCAAAAGGCCATTCTACTATTCTGTGTGCCAGCTACTTCAGACTGATAGGAAACATAGTAACCAGTGAGTTCTCTCAGAATGAGAATACTTTTCCTATTTCCATACATCATTTGCTGTAAAATGAGTTTCCTGGTTAGAAGCAATGCTATGTGGAATATGTAATGGTGAATAAGGTATTTTATGAAAATTCACGCATGGTGATTTCAGCAGAACTATAATGGTCATGGAAGGAAAGTCTATATTCAGAGTATCTGTCTTATTAAGAGTAAAGCATTGCTCATTTAATGAAGGAAGTGACTTAGTATAATCAACTTACCACCAGGTGGTTGGCTCGTCCTCCTAGAAAATGGAACCATATCATGGGTTCACTGTTTGTCTTTACTGTTGACAGATTTTACATTCAGCAGGGGTTATAACCATATCAATCTTGATGAATTGATTCTGTTGCTGAGCCTGTGCCATCCTTGTTGCCATGACTCCTTTGTTGTAAGGACAGCAAAGGTGAGTAAGGATGAAGGTGGCTGGGAAAGGATAGTGGTTGATATCCACAGAATGCTTCATCTTGTCCTCCTGATTATTAAGATGTCCCTCTATTGATTGATCTGGGTGCAGTGCTCATTTGGAGAGGTCTAGACACATACTCTCGCCCAGACCACCTTGTTATCAATTTGCTAACTGTGTTCTTTTCTAGTGCCTGCCCATTCAACCAAACTGTTAGCTTTCCCCATAAATTTGTGTATATTTGTCCCTTTGGTTACCTCTCATTCCAGGCAAAATGACAGGCCCATCACTTGAAGTTCTGCCTACTGGGAGGATTTCACTTCATCACTATTCTTCAGGATCATCCTTGTGTGGGACTATAGTGCTGTACCTGTCTACTTCTAAGCAGTGTCAGTGTATCATACAGAACCATCTATATACAAGCCCATTATTCAAGTGGTCATAGGAAATTGTCCATGGGTCCAGGGTGTGGGTTAAGAGAGGAAGCAATGTTGTAAGAATAGGGCCATAGGAATCTGGACTATTTGTTCATGCAGCTCCTTGTGTCTTAAGGACTTGCTTGCTCCCAATTTCGTACATATTACTTTCACTTGAAGGTACAGTGTTGTTGTGCATGCCCAAATTTATGGGTTGGTGGATGAGACAATAACCATTTTATGATGGGCAACTCAGGTCCCATGGTAAATTAGTGGCTGTGAATGCAGTACATCTGCTGAGGACCTAGTAGAAAGTCTAAAGCTGATTTTCAAGAGGAGAGTAGTTACCTATAGAGGATGGCTTGCTTTGTTCCAAAATCCTGAAAGTTTACCATATGATCCACTTATAAGGACCTGCCAAACTTGACCTGTTTGAACTCATACAGTTGGAATGATTATCATCAATTTGGTAGAGAACTAAGCAGAACATGTGATATCTTCTGGAGTGGAGAGTTGTTCAAGATTTCTACAGACTAGATTATGCCAGAGTTGACGTAGCTCTGAGGTAGGGCTTTGAAGGACATAGTTGGTCCTGCTAGCTTGAAAGCAAGTGTTTTTGTGATTTTGACTAAAAGGATAGAAGAAGTAGCTTCATCCCAATTGCGAGAAATGTATTGATTTGCCCCCAAAACAAACGACATTTGTATCTGCAGCTGCAATTGGAGTCCCATGTAATTATGCTTACAGTAATTCCCTATCGTTCCTAAGATCCATCTGTATGCTGCATAATCCCGATAGATGAGTTGAATGCTAACGTGGCTGGAATCACCACATCCTTTATCTTTCAAGTTTCTGTAGTCTCTAATCGTTGCAATCTCTTCAGAAATGTAGCATTCCTTCAACTTACTTTTTTGGTTGGTAAAAGTTCTAGTGACTTCCGCTTGCTTTTTTTTCTATTTGGTTTCCTCTGTAAATCCCTCATTCCATGGGTCAGGTAACCAATATGGACATTATGCCGGTTTCTGCATTTGACTTTTCTAACTATGCATTCCAAACTGGGAACATAACTATGAGGTGAGTTCAGGTACATACTGGTCCCACTGGAGATAGACCTTAATCCAGAATCAATCTCCTGACCTCTGCAAGTTCCTACCCTAACTAGTGAACCACAAAAGCATACTAAGTCTCCAGGAATTAGTGTCAGATCAGATCCAGTATCCAGTTACCCAGTGATTAACTCCCCTTCCCCAGTACATGATCACCCTGGTAAATGGTTGCATGTTTCTTCGAGGAGTGCTAGGAGGAAGATTCACACAGTATGATCTTTGGCAGTATGTTAGGATTCCTAAAGGGGACCCATCCTCTTTATTCAAGGGGCACTGACTGGGTCTGTGAACTAGCTCAAGTCAGAGTTGATTGAGGGCTCAGACTCTCTTTAGTGTTGATTTAAGTCCTATTAATGGTAATCAAACCTAGAGATTTTCTACTTAGACGAATCAGATAATACTTAAGAAGAGTGCCTATCTATTTCAGGTCTAGGAATGCTGTATCAGTTAGCCAATGCCAGCAATCTCCATGTGTAAAACCATTTTATTTATTACTTTGATTCCACTGCCCAGTATGGTAACCATGTCCATTTTGTCTCTGGAAGTTAAGTGCTACTGTTGTCCTGCGTGTCACCCAAGATCTCATCATCCTCATTGAATTTAGGAAACCTAGCTTGATGACACCATTACCCACTAGTATCCATGGCCTTTTAGCTACATAGAGCTTATCAAGCTACACAGAGCTTGTTGAGGACACCAGGTCTCCCATCACAATGCATTCCTTAAACCTAGGTAAGGGAAGTGTCTCTTGGACTCTTCCTGAGGACATAGTTAGGGTGTGGGTGAGCAGGACTCACATAATAAATACTCTCCATATGTTAGAAAATTTGTGAGCTGATCTCCTTAAAAACTCCAGAATGGGCGCTAATGTTTGCAAGATAATGAAGATGATTGTTTATGATCTCAGTGAATAAGATGAATTAATATACAGAATGTAGTTTTTAGTTTGAAAAGTATAATGGTGGACTGATAGTTACCATGTCAGAGGGGTTGGGGAGGATGGGGGGGTGGGGAGGGTGAGGAGGATAAAGGGGCACAAAAATTCTCAATCATAATGTAACTTGGTCACGGAGGTGGTAGTACAGCATGGAGAATACAGCCAATGATTCTGTAACATCTTCCTGAGTTGACAGATGGTAACTGTGCTGATGAGAGTGAAGATTTAATAATAAGGGTAACTGTTGAACCACTCTGTTGTATACTTGAAACCAATATAAGATTATATATATTGATGATGCTTAAATAAAGAAAAGTATAACTGTGAACAAAGTGTTGTATTTAGTGCTTTTAGAATGAAAGGGAATTTTTGTAGTCATCAATATATTTAATATTTGGATTTTCTCTGGTAAAAATAAAACCCATTTGAATGTTATATTCTGTTTTACCATGTGATTAAAAATCACCTTTAAATAGCAGGATTTTTACTGCCCCCCACCCCCACTCTAAGGATGAGTATGACCTCATGTTCTATAACATTTTTTTTTTTAAAGCTCAGTCTTTTTTCTTATATTCAGTTTCTATTTTTTTTTTCAAGTAATTTTCCCCTTTTGGGGCCTTGCAGGAGACTGAAGTGGGGCAGAGCATGGTTGAGAAGGTGGAGGAGATGGGTGACTTCATTCATTACCAATTACTGTTTCTATTGTGGGACGATAGGTTATGGACATAGTAACTCCAGCTTGAAAAATAGTGGTTTATTGAGTAATGAAAATATATTTAGACATGGTCTTGAAGAAAACATTTAAATGCAGGGCTTGGAATCTTTCCTTCTATTCTGTTCCTTCCAATGGGCTACAAATTCAAAGAAAAGATTTGCCAAGGTGTACCCAGAGTTGAAATGCACTTAAAAGTGAGGTTGAAATAGGCAGTTTTAGAAAGTATAGGTTGGTATCCATGTACACAGCCACATATGTACAGCCAGAGGGACAGAGAAACTCAGAAGATTTTGGGTTGGTCATACTAAGTATAAAATGTCCTGACACAGTCTGTTCTTCAACTGTACTTTGACCTTTGAAAAGCCTTTTATGATTGCTGTTCACATATTTTTTTACTACTCTTTGTGAGTTTTTTATTTTCCTCTGATAGGATAGTTTTAATAGCTTGCTTCTTGTTCCATTGTGCAGTAATTAGAATGTTATTAGTTTAAATCAAATTAGTCAGTAAGGTCCTGGTTCCTGAGTAATGCCTTTTTTTTTTATTTGTAAGTATTTTGTCATGCTAAGGGACCAGTAACTTTTATAATGGGTGTGGGTGGGACTTCAAGCATACTTTGTATTTCAACTTAACTTTATTGTGTAAGCATTTTCAAGGGAAGAAACTGTCTTATGTAGAATATAAGACTGTGCATGGGTCAATAAGGAAAGGGCATTTGCCCCTTTACCCCTCAACAGTCATATTAAGATGATTTTATTCTTCTCGATTTCTAAAAGGACATTTTCTCTGCTATTGTAAAAGCCAGCAGATTTCCCGAGTGTCCTTGAATGATTTATTCATGGCCTACTTGTATAGGAGCAAGAGAAAAGAATTATACATTACATTTTTAAAGAAAATCTTGTACAAGAAAGCAATTTAAAAAATATATTTGGTAACACCTTTAATAAAATTTTTAATGAGTCATCTTTCCGACTCCCAGTCATTTCAAAGAGTACTGTCTCCTCTATTATCATGGCTCAGAGCAGTGTTTTTTTCCTGTCCTCCCTGCCCTGTCCCCCAAGTTGGGATATGTGTTGTTTCTATAGTACTTTTGATTTTTAAGTTAAATAGTCTCCTGTTTAAGAGAATTCAAGGTGTGCCCATACCTAAGATAGTGTTTGAACTATACTTTGATGAATGTAATAATTTTTTAATAACATTTTGGCCAAGATTAAAACACTAAATATCACTAATACTCTGAGATTAATTAAGTTAATCTATCATTAACCAAAAACATTTTTCTCTTTCTTCCTTTATTACTGCTTTCTTTCCTTCATTACTAAGTTCTTTCCTATCCCCCCAAATTCCAGCAATTGAATACTTGAAGAATGGATGAATGATCTTATATAATTATTTGTTTACTATCTCCCTCTCTTTTTAGGCTATAAATTCTGTTAGAACAGAGACTGTGCCCATCTTGTTCACCTCCATGTATTTAATGCCTAAGATTTATACATAGTAGTAATCCAGTAAATTAGCTGAATGAATCAGTGAATAATAAATGTATATAATGAATGCTTCTTTTAACAATTATTTTTCTTGAAAGTGTTTCTTGTGTATTGAAATACTTAGGTTGTAAATGATGGGGATAAATTATAATAGGAAAAGAAGTATTTTTAATAAGAAAGTTTTTAAATTTGCTACTTGTTTCTTTTTAAAAAATAGTAGTATAGTTCAATTAAAAGTGGTTTTTGAAACTAAATTTTTGATTATTTTGGATTAATATTTCAAACTGTATTTGATTATGTGAACTTAATTAGCTCAACTAAACTTATGGCCCAACTAAATTAAAATAGTTTGAGGGCATAATATGGACATACTCGTATTTTTAAAATGAGTATCAGTTTTAAGTGTTTTAATTGAAACATGATGTGAGTCTATGTAGATAATAGTATTTTTTTTACTTATTTCAAGTTGTAACTTGAGAATTTTAAGGATTGAAGAATATTTCCAAGCGTAACAGAAAATTATGTACTCTTGGATTCAGAAATTATTACTTTAGCAAAATAGGCCTGACTGATCAGAAACATAAGGACCAAAGTAAGTGTACATAACTCCCCAAATAATGTTAGTATAGACTGTTCATTTGATTGTTGGACAACATATATGTACAAATAGTTCAGTTACTGAGGGATAGGAAAGAAAAAAAAGGGAAAAGAGCTTACTACTAACTACAGTGTTGAGTCTTGGTAAGATACAAAGTAGCCCCACATTGCATTTTATATATTATGAGCTTCATTGGACCACTTGTTTAGAAAAGCTAGTAATACTTGGGTACACAGCAGTGTACTTGGGAGAATAAGATTCTACTCAAGTGTTTCAGTGTCTTTTCAGCTCTTCCTAATTGTAATATCTCTATTACTGTTTGCTTAGCTTTTGTCTCTGTGACTGAAAGGGTATATTTTCATCCTACATTTTTCTCTAGGCATCCACAAGGACAAAGATAAACCTCCCAGCTTCTCTGTTGTCCTTGAGACTTTGAGGCGCACCTTGACGGATTACCAGAGCAAGCTGGAAGATGCATCTAATGAGGTAACACTTGCACTGTTTGGCTCCACACATATAGCCTTCGGCCTGCAGCAGTACATATCCCTTGCTTGTTACAAAGGTCAAAAAGATTGGGTGTGTGGAATTGACAGCTTCACAGATACAAAAAATAATTTGTCTGTCACTGTTCTTCCTTTAAGTGTGGCCTAAAGTCACGTCTCACTTGTGTTTTTGTAACTCTTCAGTCACACTATTGTTTTCAAAGTTACGATCCTCTTTTACTTCTTGGTCTTCAAAATTTATTTTAATTAAAAAAAAAGCTATACAAGTCATTTAAGTTAATATATGGTATGTATTTAAATGTCATTATGTTTTTACCAAATTGAAATTGGTAGAAACTTGGTTTTGTGAGTATTTTAGGTTTCTACAAATTGTGAAAGTCTCAATTAAAAAAAGAGAGAAGTTAGTTTTCATCCTCTACAGGGAGTAAAATGCTGTTGGAAGCTTTTGAAAACAAGTTATTTGTTTGAAGTAGCCTGGAAGGTTTTAATTTGATGACCAGAAAAGCTCATGCTTTTATTTATCATCTCATTTGTATTATTTAATGTGTGGGCTGATAATTTTCTTGGGTATTAAAATATTTTATGAATTTGTGCTTTAAAAATTGAAGAGTTCATTTAGTTACAGCTTGTCAAATTAGAAAATATAAAATAATCACATTAAATACAATTAGCAAAACCACAGATTGTCCAAACCCAAGACAAGCCAAATAACATGGAATTTAGTGTTTATCCTTCTGTTTATCTGTGTCTTTCATATATCACAAAGGCCAAGAAACCATTATACTTCATATTTCAGAAGAGGCTTATTTTACTTTAGTTTACCAAGGTGAACAAAGCAGGAAAAGTGAGTCTTCTTAAAAACCTCTGTAATTGTTTAAAAGGTATGAAAAATGAAAAGAGAGTGACCATTGAAATAATGATTCTGCTATAAAGAACAAATATTGCTAAACCTTTCCCAGTGAGACGAGACGACCTGTATTGTTAGTAGTTTATGAAAGTCTTCTGAGGCCTGGGTCTGGAAGCTGCAGGGTAACTAGGAACATATTACCCACAGCGAATTGTTATTTGGGAGGATGAATGTCACATGATCCGCAGCACAGTTGAAAAGTCGACTCAGCAGGCTTTGGCTTAGTAATGCGCTTTGTTGTGAACCAGTGCCAGAGACAGCAGTGGGGAGACCAAGGGGGTGGCTGCAAAGAAAGCAAAAAGAGCAGTCTGACAGAAAGAAGAATGAACTGTCAAAGAAAATAAATCACAAGCGGAGCAGGACCAACTGATGACCTGCCACAAGCCTTCCCAGTAGGACTGCATGTGCCCGACCCCGAAGTTGTCATATGGAGTGAGAGACCAGTGAATACTCTCCTGATGTATAGAAAGAACAGTTTTCTGTTCTGTCCTTTCATCTTTCCTTTTAGATGCCACTGCTTCTGGCATTTTGGTCCAGTAGGATTTTAAGAATAAAGTTATATTGTTTACAGTACGAATGAAATCCTTTATCCAGACATGTAGTAAGAACACAAAACATCACGGACATTTTAAGCTTGAACAGTTTCTTTCCTTTTTTGCCACGTGAACTTGTGACAGATATTATATAGTTAACCAAAAGAAATACTTTTTTAAGACTTAATTGCTACTGAAAAATTTGTATTTAATTAATGCATAAAAAATATTTACAGATAAGTATTTGAGTTACACATCCTTGAAAAATATTTAAAAAGTCACTTACGTTTTCTTTAATCAGCTAAACAGCATGAACGATGCTAAGGAAAAAGCATCTAATGAACTTGATTCTGCCAAACAGAAGATAGAATCTCACACTAAAAATATAAAGGTATTGTGATTTAAAATAACTTCTTCCTTTTGTATTAGTAAAGAAGTATAATCACTTAGGAACTATTTTTAGGTAGAGATATCTAAAAATATATTTCCTACTTTTATTAACTATATTTGGATACAATTTAAACTTTTTATTGATGATCAAAGTAATGAGAATGTTTTTTCCAAAATTTAAAAAATAAAACTTGATTGGAAATTGTTTTGGTTAAAGGAAAAACTTTATAATACCATAGTTTCAAAAAATTAATTACCATTTAATGTCCAGCCTTAGATACATAGTCAACATATTTTATATTAGTACATCAGTATTTGAAGTCAGTTTTCATAATTTTAGGAAGGAGCTATTGTTTTTAGTACATCCTGCCTAGTAATGGACTGAGACCACACCTGGCCAATGTCCAAAACAACAGTTTATTTTCTGTGCTGATTTTATCATCGTTGCAAAATTGTAAAAAAAAAAAGTACAAAGAAACTCACAGAGTTGGAATCTTTTTTTGTGTTGGTCCATGTTGAGTTTGTCATGGATATACTTGAATAGAATTTGTTAAGATTGAAGAATAAATAGTTCAGCACAATTTTATGTCACATACTTGAGATTTCTATTAGTATTTGGAATGTCACTGGGAAGTAAATGTTGTTATATTAAACATAAGAGGTTTATTTAAAAATTGTTATATACTTGTTATTTAAAGTTTTTTGTGCTACCAAGTTATTTTTTAAGTAATGAGCTGAAAGGAAACCTCCATTGCAAAAGCATTTTGGAATAAGCTATGTTACTAACATTTTATTTTTAAATGTTGAAGCATAAATTTTCTGATATTTGAGCTGAAATATTATACTTTGAAAATACATTCAACAAGGTATCTTCATGGTAGTCTAATACTTGCCTTCGTGATTGGTTCTTATGCATTAAAGCTTTGGAAGTTTTCATTCCATATTTTATATTTGAATCCCTCATGCCCTGTGGGCTGCCTTCATACAGTCTCTTTATTTGGTATCTCTGACAGGATCTTCAGGATAGACTGGCTGATGTCAATAAAGAGTTAAGTCACTTACGCACTAAATGTGCAGACAGAGAGGCTCTAATAAGCACTTTAAAAGTGGAACTACAAAATGTGCTGCACTGTTGGGAGAAAGAAAAGGCGCGAGCAGCCCAGTCTGAAAGTGAACTGCAGCAGCTTTCCCAGGTTTTCCATAAGGACACCGAGGTATTAGTGGAGACCGAAAGACTGTCAGGAATGGCCTCTCAGTAATCTCTGCTTTATAAATCTCTGCATACCTCAAGTGGCTGTTTTTACCCTTATTTGATTTAATTCAAAACATTGTTCTGACCTGCCTGTTCTGAAATATTCCTTCCAGCTGCAAAATCAGGCACCCTGTTCCTCTTGTGTCATCTTATGTTAAGAGAAGTCATCATGCGCAACTTGTACAACTAATTTTCTCTGACTTTTTAGAACATCGTATCTCAGGCAGCTATGCTCCTAACAAACAGTCCTTTCAAAGTGTTCCTGTTTGCCAAAGAAAAAATAATTTTTTATTTCAGTAGTTTAGTAGCTTGGCATGTTGGAAAGAATATATATATATGTATATATATACATATATTTGTAATCAGAAAGAACTAGACTGGACAGTGGTATTTCTGTTTACAAACTCTGTTAACATGGACAAACCATACAGCTCAGTTTGCCTTCATCTTAGTTTCCTCATTTGCAAAACAAATAAATAGTTACATTAATAGACAGACTCCTTACTCTTTATATTAATCAAAATTCAGAAAAATACAAGTCCCACAAGATCAAAACTTTCCTTAGACACCCATGAGAGTTGCCTATCCATTTTTATTTGTTAATAATTTCTTAAAGTATTACGACAAAACTTTGATATTCTTTATGCGCCTGTGTGAGCGGAATCGTTATTGGATGTTGCCTTGTACCCCTGGGACACAGAGCTAGTCTAGCTGGTGCACAGTTGGTTTATCTGAGTGGCTCTGCACATTGAGTTCATTACTCCAACCAATATGAACATGAATGCCAAGCAAGTAAAAAGGAAACATTCTTTCCACTTTTCTTATAGTCTGGGATTTAAATTGTGTCCACATGAAGGGACTGGAATTGTTCTGCACATCAGATAATGATTAAAGGAGAGGAAACTAGAAGCCTGACTGTACTGTAAAGTCAGCAGGCCCACAGCACTGTGGTTGCGTTCAGCATGTGCAAATCAGTTTTGGATCTTGAGATTCTCTTTTCACGCCAAATGGATGATTATCACGCATGGTTTATCACAGCCCAAGCAAAAAGGACATAATGGCGACACAATGAATTATCCTTTAAGATGAACTCAGTCAGTTGGCCAAATGTGTGTATGTGTGTGGGGAAGATTTTTTTGTGTCTGAATATCACATTTGTTTTCATATATTTAATAAGATTTTTAAACATCTCAACCCAGTTGAAAATGCAAAAGACATCTTTAATTGCTTAAAAAAGGAAAAAGTACAGTGTGTTTAGAAAGACGTCCTATATCCTGCTCAGGTTTATGGTTATAACTACATATTTGAATTTTTTGGTTTTTAAATTGTTATATTTGGAAAGAACTAAGGTGGAATATATAGGGAGGAATAAAGATACACATTTTAACATATATAGGAAAAATTTCCCCATGATTTCTAATTACACAACCTTTGCATATCCTATATTTAGTTTTTCTTATCTAGAAGATGAGAGTTTCTGTTTTTTCCTTTTAGAGGTTTTCTTTTCCTGATGATCTATTAAAAAACCTTAAGGGAACTTATTTTATCTACACAAAATATTCATTTTTGCAGTTTTACAATTACGTTGTTTTGAGTTCCATTCTGTGGGACTTTATAGGTGAAACACCTTATAAAGAGAGCCATTGGGCATCTTAGTAAGTAAGCTCTTCTCGTGTATCCAAGATGGGATCAGCTTTTTAGTGAATTCTATAGCATGGCGTTTCCAGTTCATTAAACTATGGGTGGTTTAGTTACTACAATGGCAGTATAGTTTTAAAAGACCTTTTTTTTTTACACATTTCTAATTGGATAATTTTGAAAGCATGCCTCCGGCAGGGATGTCCTTTTTTTTAGTCTGTTACTTTGTAATATTTAAAGACCTACAAATGCCCAGTGTGCCAAATACTATATGAACTTATAAGTGGGGAAAGCAAATGAGCCCATCTCCCGTATCTTTCATATCACTGGCTGCTTTGCCTAAGGGGCTTGGGATAGATTTCCTCTAAGTGATAAGGAAACTGGAACCTCTGGAGGAGGAAGAAGGCTGAGTAATTGTATACATGTAATACAGATACTGATATAACGTTTTCTTGAACAGAGTTGAATAATACTCTTCTCTCTATATTGGTTTTCTGACATCTGTTTTGGCAACTTTAAATATGACATTATAGAATTACCATACTGATTTCCAGTTAGAAGGTCTTAAGAGCCACTCTTCCAGATTCCTCATGTTACAGCTTAGAAAGGGGAGGCCTGAACAAGTACTTCCTCAGATCACATGCTCAGTAATAGCACAGCTGGGCTCGAAACCCTGATCTTTTGACTTCTAGAGTGTATGTTGTGGTTTTTGAATACCAAGAGTGAGCAATTCTAAGTTTTTATCTGATGCTTAGTTTTGAATGTAAAAAACATCACCAAGATGACAATATTCTGAGACTTGAATATTTTAATTCCTTTCTGGGTTTTTGAAATAAAATTTTCACCATGTGTATTATGTGTTTTACTTCTTACAGTGTTTATATACTGGAATTAGTTTCCTTTTTTTTCTCACAGGAGAAGCTAACCTTCCTTCATACCTTGTATCAGCATTTGATAACAGGCTGTGTGTTCATAAAACAACCAGAAGGCATGCTGGATAAATTCTCTTGGTCTGAGCTCTGTGCCGTCTTGCAGGAGAATGTTGATGCCCTGATCGCAGACCTCAACAGGGCTAATGAGAAGGTGACTGTCCTCAGGCATCAGATACCTCTATTAAATTCAGTGGCATTTGTCCACATCACAGTATCATTAAGAGGGTCTGACATTCATCTTATTTCAAAAAGAATTTGGCTGTTAATAATTCAATACCATTAATTATGGCTTGTCTACAACTCAGTTTGATGCCATTGCTGTGGGCATGTAAATGTGACTGAAGTCTGTATGAAGTCTCCAAGCTCCACTTTCTGTGCAGGACATGCTAATACTACCAGCCAGTATTAGCCACAGGGACCTAATTAAAAGAAAATAAATTAATCTTACTGATGAAGCAATTCAAAGAACTTAGTCATTTACATTAATAAACCAACTCTTTATGTTAGTGTAAAATAGAAACAAGATAGTTATTCAAAAATATCTTAAAATTCTTTGCTCAGAAAATAATGAGGTGTTACTTTAAAAGCATGTAAAATTTTAAAATTATGTTTATGACATTTCTGGAAAACACAACATGCTGTATGTTATAAAATCCCTTCAGTGCTTTTGAATGTAAGAGGTATATACTATAGAAGAAAATAGTAGATATTTATGGTCACTTTACCATTCACAAGCCTAGGAATTCAGTCTTGCCAAAAAAAAGAAAAAATTGAAAATCTGTTTTTTGGTTATAGAAAATTAAAATGGCTAAGCAGACCAACATATTCCACCATTAAGGGTATTGATTCTTATCCTGGGTCTGTTGAACTGGTCAAAATATATTTATGTGGTCTAGTTTCCAGATCTTTAGCTGCAATGACTTTTGCTCTTAAGCAACATAAAGAGAAACACTGTTCCCTAAGTTTTTAAAATCTGTATAAGTGGTGAAACAGCATCTTGGCCTGATTTTAGAGCGAGAGCATTTTACCTTGCTCCTATCATCAAATATAACCCTAGGCACTGAGAAGTAGGTTTGGGGAAATGAAGGAATAAACTGTGAGAAGCCCAGATGCTCTTTGCAATGGTGAATGTGTGTATAATGGCCTTGAAATTACTGATAATTTAAAATTTTAAACCCTCTGAGATGATACTATGTTTTAATAGTTGTTCATGGTTTCAAAACACTATTAATTGTCATACATATTAGATGACGAGGATTTTCTTTCCAGTGTTTTGAATGTAAAATAAAGAGTTGGAACATTGTTCTATTATATGTAAAATGTTTGTAGATTTTTGAAGCTCATTTAAATACTTCCTTCCCCACTTAGATATCTGAATAGCTTTAGTTTTGGTTCTAGAGGTAAGCATGTTTTAAATTTTCTCAGTAAAATTGATTATAGAACAAGTAACTTTATAAGTAAAAAATTAAATGTCATCTAAGCATAAAAATGGCACCATTTTCTGCTAAAATATGATAATTTGCCCTAATTCCTATTTCTTAATTTTTTTTGTTTTCAATTTAACTTAAAATTTTTATATGATCTGAAGGAATAAAATACAGTAGAAAATCATGGACAGTTTTGGGGGAGGTGGTACAAAGAAATGGTTTGGGAGCATATCTTATTCTCTTTTGCCATTGCCCATTTAGATAAGACATCTAGAGTATATCTGTAAAAACAAGTCTGATACAATGAGAGAACTTCAGCAGACCCAGGAAGATACCTTTAACAAAGTGGCCGAGCAGATCAAAGCTCAGGAGAGCTGCTGGCACAAACAGAAGAAGGAACTGGAGCTGCAGTATTCTGAGCTCCTTTTGGAGGTACAGAAGAGGGCACAGGTATGCTACTTCTACAAAGAGCTTTACAAAATGGGATGCTCAGTCTGTTAATATTCCAAGTGTTTTCTTTTAATACTAGTGCTAAATCAGTTTAAACCTTAGAACTTGTTCGGCCCACATACATGTGGTCATGCAAACATGCACACACATACAGATGTACACACACACACACACACACACACACACACACACGAGTGTGTATTAAGTATTGTCTTTCACTAAAGTTTGGATGTAGATGGTTTTCTGGTCAAATCATCCCAGAATGCATTGACCAATTAAATGCTAAAATTGTATTTCCTTTATTTATTTTTAAAATAAAAGGTTAAGAGATTTGGTAAACTTTTTTTAAGTTTTAGTGTAGATACCCTTTTATCCAGTTTTTTCCATTATCAATTCCTTTTATTTCTATGCCAACTATCGTTTTTACTCATTTGTGGTTGTAGCTTGTTAAACCTCCTAACATTACATAAGAACTGGAGTTACAGTTATAGATTCTGCTGCAACAGAGTTGACTGTGAGATGTATTACTATGTTGTAGTCTATTGAGAACAGAAGTTAGCTTAACCATATTTTTACTGTACAAATTATTGTTAACATAATTTATATTGTTAACTGTCATCCCGCCCAATCAGGAATAACAGTGATAGTAAATGCTTTTTTTTTGGTATTGAATTTATAACAGGTCATTTATTCTCAAGGTGAAATACTTAGGAATCAGAAGGTTCTCCCCATATTTGGTCCATTCATACTTATATTGAAAAGTCTAATTTAAAATAAGAAACTTTTTTTTTTGGTTTGTTTGCCAGTAAACAATTTCAGATTGCTTAAAATAAGACCATTCTGTTCTCTCAAGTGTGAGCTCCCTATGTGAACTGATACCATTCTCTACAGTTTTGAACGAATTAATAACACTCTCTAAAAGTAGCCATTTGTTCACTGTATGCAGGGTGGCTGTTCTGCATTTTCTATACTGAAGTGAAAGACTGAAGCGATTTATTTCATTTTTTTTAAGAGGTAGCATTTACATTCAGTGAAGTGAATAGATCTTAAGTGTACAGTGTTTTGATCAAAGTAAACACCGACATAACCATTGCCCCACTTGGGTCTAAAAACACTGGGTAAGCTTGTGCCTCTCCCAGTCTGTTTCTGCCTCCACACGCAGCCATTGTTCTGGTGATTCTCATTGTATGTTGCTTTCATTTGTTCTTGAATTTCCTCTTGAAATCACTCACAATGGAGTCTTTGGTTGTTGGCTTATTTCACTCAACATTATTTTTTGATATTCATCCATGATGTTGTGTGTATCATTAGTTCATTCTTTTTTTTTGGTAAATACTTACACCACGCTTTGGTAGATTATAAGTTGATGAATATTTTGGTTGTCAATTTTTGGTTATTCTAAATACAATTGTTACAAACATTATTGTGTAAGTATTTTGTTGGTATATATTTTCCTATCTCTTGGTTAAGAGTAGAATTATTAGGTCATAAGATAGATGTATGTTTATTAAAAAACTCAAATTTTTTTCCACAATGATTGTATTATTTTATATGTCAACCAGTGTATGAGAGTTTCCATTGTTCTACATACTCTGCAACATTTGGTATTATCAGTCTTTTAAATTTTAGCCATTGTTGTTGTTTCCAAATGGGACTTTATTGAGGTTATAATTCACATTATTTTGTTGATTAATGATGTTGAGCACTTTTCATGCTCTTATTGGCCATTCATATATCTTCTTTTGTGAAATGTATATTCAAGTGTTTGCCTGTTTTTTTACTTGTGTTTTTATTATTTATATATTCTGGACACAAATCCTTTGTCATACATGTGTATCACAGATACTTTCTTCTGAGATTTCACTTGCCTTTTCTTTCTTTTCTCTCTTTTTTTTTTTGTTACAATGTCACTGATATACAATCTTATGAAGGTTTCACATGAGCTACATTGTGGTTTCAACATTCACCCATATTATCAAGTCCTCATGCTCCCATTGCAGTCACTGTCCATCAGCGTAGTAAGATGCTGCAGAGTCATTACCTGTCTTCTCTGTGCTGTATGACCTACCTATATTTTGATTGCGAATTACAGGATTTTGCTTGCCTTTTCATTTTTTAGTGTTTCTTTTGAATATCACAAGTTTAAAAACTTTGAAGTCCAACTTTTAAATCTTTTTCTTTTTTGAGTATTTATTTTTATGTACAAACAATCTTTCTATACACCAAGGTTGTGGAGATAATCTATTGTTTCTTCTAGAAGTTTTATAATTTTAGCTTTGATGTCTAAGTCTGTGATCCAACTCAAATTAACTTTTGTGTATGATGTTAGGTAGAGGTTCATTTTCCTGCTGCATTTATTGTTCCCACACCATTCGTTCAGAATGTTACTTTCCTCCTTGAATAACCTTGGTCCCTGTGTGAAAAAACAACTGGCAGTATGTGGGAACCACAGGTTTGTTGTCCTTCCCTACAGTTTTGTTTAATCTAAAATTCCATATAAGCAGAATCATACAGTATGAAGCCTTTGGGTCTGACTTCTTTTATTTTTTGTTTTTTTTTATTAAGGTATGATTGACATACACTCTTATGAAGGTTTCACATGAAAAAACAATGTGGTTACTACATTTACTCATATTATCAAGTCCCCACCCATACCCCAATGCAGTCACTGTCCATCAGTGCAGCAAGATGCCACAGATCCACTATGTGCCTTCTCTGTGCTACACTGTTCTCCCCGTGATCCCCACACCATGTGTACTAAACATAATACCCCTCAATCCCTTTCTCCCTTCCTCCCCACCTGCCCTCCCACACCCCTCCCCTTTGGTAACCACTAGTTCATTCTTGGAGTCTCTGAGTCTGCTGCTATTTTGTTCCTTTGGGTCTGACTTCTTTTTACTTAGCAAAATATGTTTGGGAATTATTCATGTTGTGTGTATTAGTAGTTCAGTCCTTTTTTACTGCTGAGTAATATTCCATTATATGGATGTATAACTTTGTTTTTCCAGACACTTGCTGATGTACTTTTGGGATATTTTTATTTTTTGGTAATTATGACTAAAAATGCTTTGAACAGTTGTGGGTAGGTTTTTTTAATTGAAGTATCATTGATATATGATATTTTATTGGTTTCAAGTATATAACACAGTGGTTTAACCATTAGCCATATTATTATATCCTCACCCCCATTAATGCAGTTACTGTCAACATAGGAAGATGTTACACTATCATTGACTATATTCTCCAAGCTGTACTACTATCCCTTTGTGCCCTTTTAGTGGATGGGTTTTTGTGTGATTGTAAGTTTTCATTTCTTTTGGGTAAATACTTAGGAGTCTGATTTCTGGGTTATATGCAAAGTGTATATTTAACTTTATAAGATCTTTCAAATCATTTCCCCAAGTGGCTGTACCATTTTTCACTCTCATTAGCAATGTAAAAGATTTCTTTTTGCCCTGCATCTGTGCCAGCATATGGTTCACCTCCTTTTTTCGTTTGCTAGTCTAATAGGTGTGTAGTCATATGTTATGGTGGTTTTAGTTTACATTTTCCCTAATAAATAATAATATTGAACATTTTTCAGATGCTTATTTGCCATCTGTATATATTCTTTGGTGAATTATCTGCTCATATCTTTTGCCCACTTTTTAATTGGGTTGCCTATTTCCTTATTGCTGAATTTTCAGGGTTGTTTATATATTCTAGATACAAGTCACTTGTCAGTTTAGTGATTTGTAAATATTTTTCCCATTCTCTTAAAAGTACTTTTGTAGAGCAAATATTTAAAATTTTTATGAAATCCAATTTATCAATTTTTTCTTAAATGGATCATGTATTCAGTGTTGTATCTAAGAATTCCTTGCCTAGTTGCAAGGTCACCAGGATTCACTCCTATTTTCTCTTCTACATACTTTATATTTGTAGGTTTAATATATAGGTCTATGATCCATTTGCATTAATTTTTATAAAAGTGTGAGGTATGGTTTATTTTATTTTCTTTTTTTTTTGCATATGGATGTTCAGTTATTCTAGCACTTTTGTTGAAAGACTATTCTTTCTGTATTTGCATTTGCACCTTTGTCAAAAATCATTGTTGTATTTGTATAAGTCTATTTCTGGACTTTCTCACCTGTTCCATTTATTTATATGTCTGTTCTTTTTTTAAATCCTGCACTTATTTGATTCTATAGCTTTTTAGTTTGTCTTGAAATCAGATGGTATGAGTCTTCCAACTTTCTTCATTTCCTATAATTTTTTAAAAATTGACTATATTTGACATGTAACATTGTGTAAATTAAGGTATACATCTTGTTACTTTGATACATTTATATATTGTAATATGGCTGATGTAATGATATTTATCACCTTACATGCTTATAGTACAATATTATTATCTGTGTTCCTAACTGTACAGTAAATCTCTGTGTTCAAAACTGTATTAAATCTTTGTGGCCATTTTAGTACTCATTACAGTTTGTACCCTTAAACACCATTACTGTTATTCTCCCAGCCACATTGACTAGTAACTATAATTTTACTCTATTTTTTTAAATATGTTTGATTGTTTTAGATTCCACATATAAGTGATATTAAGCAGTACTTGTCATTCTCTGTCTGGCTGATCTTGCTTGGCATAAGTACTCAAGGTCCATCCATGTTGCAAATGGCAGGATACCCTCCTTTCTCATGGCTGAGTAATATTCCATTGTGTTCATATACCACATCTTTCTCATCCATTCATTTGTTGATGGGCATTTTAGTTGCTTCCCTATCATGGTTATTGTGAATAGTGCTGTGATAAACATGGGAATGCATATATCTTGTTGAATTCTTGTTTTCATATCCTTTGGGTGTATTGTCAGAAGTGGAATTGCTGGATCATATTGTACATCTGTTTTAAATTTTTGAGGAACCTCCATATTATTTTCCATAATGGTTGGAATAATTTACATTCCCACCAGCAGTGTATAAGAATTCCCTTCTCATTACATCCTTGCTGG